GGCCCATAGCCAGAGATTTTTAAGGTGCAGTCAACTCAGAGTGAGACAACAGGCCAAGATGTTGGCCATGTGGTATGAATCATTTAGTCCATTGCTTTCTTAGGAGAGAACAGGATTCTAACAACAAAGTAAGAAGAACAGGAGACTGGGGAAATACTCCAAATTATAACAGTTACTGTTGATCTAGCCTCCACCCTGTGCCAGACACTAGGTAAATACTTTACATGATTATCTCATCCCCGATCTAGTTCTCACAACTATGTAAGATAAAAGGTATTATTCCTATTAACTGATGAAAACAGAGAGCCAGAGAGATATTAAACAATTTGTCAAGGTCACATAGATTTTTGGCAAAGAAGCTGAATTAAAAACCAGTAAATATGATTCCAGAGTCCTCATTCCCAACTACTTAAGTTATACTGCATTGAGAAAGTTCAAGAAGTTCAAGAGACATCTGCATAGATGCATTCCTGCCTTCTCCTCTGACAAGAGGCTCAAAGGACTTGCCCATGGGAGGAGAAATCCCGTCTCATAAATCCTTTGATTTGGGGTCTGATGCAGAAGGTCAGCAGACACACAAGCAAGGAAACTCAGCAGTCAGGCCCTGCAGAATCCACCACAGCTACATTTAATAAAAGGAAGGGACTGACTGGGCACCAGAGGTCAATGAGCTGGGTGTGTCACTGGGAGAGATGCTCTGCTTTTACACTAAATGCCAGTCTGAGGTTGATAAGTACATTTGACCTCCTGGTAGGATGAAAGTCACAGCAGCAACAAAGGAGAGAAATTTGATATATTCCCACCATAGCCTGTGAGGCAGAATGCCACTGAGCAACAGGAAGGCTGCTGTCCATGGTACTGAACAGTGATAAAAGCTGAAGCTCAAATTGTGATTTTATGGTTCCTGATCAGGGGAATCAAGTCCACAAGGGCTTCAGTTCAGTGCTAAATGAAGTTGATGTACAGGGTTGCTGAGAATAAGGTCAAACATGACTGGAGTCCAACTGGATTCTCTAAAAGAAATCCTCTGTCTCATGGCGAGACTTCAGCAAGGTGTGGATCCTACTAACTTTTCCAAGCAAGCATATACTCTGCTCCACCTAACTCTCTGGGTTCCAGGTACAGTGGCCTTCTTACAATGCTCCCTCCTGCCACAGGATCCTTGCACATGCTGGACAAATCTCTCCACATTTTTTTTAACTTTTTACCAGGTTTACTCATCCTCTTCCTCTTTTAGATCTCAAATTGATAAAACTTTAATAAAAAATATATTCACAAAACATTATTTCCTTTCATCATAGGACTTATTTCAGATTGTAATTGTAATACCCATCGATGTGATTATTTGATGGGTTTCATTCTGAATGCAGAAAATTTGTTTCATTTTTAATTCCAAGGGTTAGTGCACAGGATACAGTTCTTGAGGGATGGATCTTTACTTCTACATGATATGGCCTGTACAATAGGTGTCATATTGGACTAGGTGCCAATAAGGCTCATGCTTAGTCCTGAGAAGACAGTTTAAAGGATCCTAGGTATACTGCAGCTTTCATAAAGAAGAAACATCTTCTTATTGCAATTTTCCTTCATGGAAAATTTAGGACTGCCTCTTGCTAGAAACACTAGAAAAACACTAATCAAGAAATGAGTTATTTTTGTCCTGATATAGTTATCCTTTTAAAGCCAAAGTTTGACCAGTTTAATCCAGAACCTGTTACAGAAGAGACAGGCAGGCCGTGGATGAAAAGGAGGGTTCAAGACCAGGTGCTCTGAGGCTAGGGATGCCTTTCTCTGATCTGGAGCTAAACACAAGGTCCTAGACCTCAGAGATCTGGCAAATATCTGGATGGAACAACATCTTGCAAAGAACACCCAACTTCAGACCCAAAGGAAGAGTCTAGAATTGAGAAGATGACCCAGACAGTGAATTAATCTAACATCCTAACATTCAGCTTTTCCAACTTCCTTGTCTCTTCAATAATAACCATGGGGCCTCCCCGGTGGTGCAGTGGTTGAGCATTGGGCTGTGAAGCTACCCGCAGCCTCTGCATTGCCGGTTTGATCCCCAGCCCACATGGCGCGCAGGGTCCCACATGGTGCGCACACCACTCCTGCTGCCCGCTGTTCCCCTCAGCAGTGTATTTCGTCAGTCTGCCTGCTCTGCTCTCCCCTCTGGCTCTGGTGAATTCTCTCACCCTCCCTCACTTCTGACTGTACCCAGTGCTTGTATAAATAAATAAATAAATAAATCTTTAAAAAAAATAAAAACCATGAGTTCTGTTTATTATTTACTTATCAAATTACTGTCCTAATCATCTATTCATATGTGTGTTATATATATTTGAACAATTATATACTATATTTATAATTACAATTGTAAAATAGAATATAAATTATGAAACACAATGTAAATTATATATAAATATATAGTGTATTATATAGCACACACATATAACATCTTTAAAAAAGTTCTCAAAATCCTCATTGATGGAGCTCCTTTCTACAGATCATGAAACAGAGGCTTGGATAAGTTCAGAAACATGTTAAAGCATACACAGCCTGTGAGTGGTAGAGCCAAGTGAGAATTTCAGCTTTGTTGGATTCCAAAGAGTGTGTTCCTCAGCCTTATGACAATATCAGCAAATGACAGTGACAGCAAATGACTGTCACTAGAAGTCATGGCTTTTGTTTTAACTATATAGCAAGACCACTTTTCTTACTATTTACTGGATACTTTTCTTCACATATATTTACTTTGTCACTTAAATGAATTTTTCAGGATATGCAAAATCATAGTATTAATATGATGGCTGTATTTTCTAACATTCAAAATCATAAATACATAATAATGGAAAAAAAAGTCCACCCAGTGCTTAGAAGTACTTTGCCAACTTCATCAGCCAAAGCAAACTTTGGGAGCCCCATAGTGTTCTATCTTGAACCCTGTTTCTTCTGCCTCTGGAGTGGATAAGAGGCAGGATAATGGTGCTAGACAGTAGATGAGTTAATATGACCTGACTTGTGATTGGTGTTTTTCTGAGGCTGTTTTGAAAGATGGCCACTTCCTTACTCAGCGCTGGCTGTACTTCAGTGTGCAAGGCTAAAGGATCCCTGTTTGTACAGTCTGCTTGGTGCTTAGAGCAGTCTGCTTGAAAAGAGCTATATAGATATCAGTTATCATCATACTCATGATGACAATGATTATTTTACATATGGCTGCTTTAAGGGTGATTGGCACGGTCTCATTTGTATGCCAGCATCTGGCAGGCTGTCACACATCTGCAGAATATAACCTAAATTGTGCTATTAATATTTCCTCTTTGCATTCTCCCCAAGGTGTCTGTCTCTGAAAATGCCTAAAGAAACTTTCCTTTCCCTTAAAAGCCTAGGGGCAAAATTCAGGAAACACATCACCTATACTGGGGACAGCAGAAGCTCAGAGTGACAGCAGCTGAGCTGAGCAGATTGCTGACTATTGGAGTATCTGTAAAGGGAGAAAGGGACCACCACCCACACTCATTGTATTTCCAGGCCAATCTGTGGGCAGGTCTGCCCAGGTTTAGACGTATGTAGAGTTGGCTCCATTATCAACAAAAGATGTCAGCCACGGCCCTATGGTTAGTTCTCAATGTCTCCATAGTTACCACTACGTGCTTAGCGCTACCTTCCCTCAAAAGACTTGGGGGTACTACTGAGAACTCTTCTATGCTGGAGACTAGATAGACGTGTATCTAAACCAGGTCTTTTTTCTTATACACAGAGCTGTACTACATTTCCCAGCCTGCCTTGCAGTTTAGGTAGCCATGTGACCAAGTTCAAAGTAAAGACCTTGGATTTTAAGTTCATCAGGAATATCTTTTAAGCAGGAGAGGAATGGTAGCTGAATTATATACTAAAAGGTCAACTCTGACTGTTATGGGAATATTCACTGTATAGGAGATTATTGCAATTATACAAGTGAGAAAACAGTGGCTTATATTAACGTTGGTTTGTGGGGGTAGAGATAGAGAGAAATGAATTGATCTGAGATATATTTTAGAGGAAACAAAGTGGGGATCATGGATAGATTGTGTTGGGGATGTTGAGGCTGGCGATTGAGAGAAAAGAACCAATATTCACTCCTAGGTCAGTTGTGTAGCTGTCTGGGTGGTGAAATCTTAAACTGAGACTGGGAACTCAGTGAAGAGTTAGATTTGTAGTGGGATGGATCACGTGATAGGTACTCTGGGTCAGTAAGATGGTTCAGACACTCATTCGGCAATTTTCTTGACTTCTCTAAGCTTTAGCTAAACATAAGATAATACACTATGGGTTTGTTATTCCAAATCTACCTTGGTGGGTACAATGTGGAAGGAAGTGTAACAGGCACCTGAAGATCATTAATACAATTTGGTTTCTTGGTCTGGATGCTGGTTATACAGGTATGCTCTGTGGAAATGTATCAAGCGGTACAATCATACGTCCACTTTTCAAAATGGGATTTTATGTCTCAAGTTCCAATGCCATGCTTGCAACTCAATAAATGTCGGCCATTATTATTTTCACTACCATGATACAATGAATACAATGAATTTATTGCAATTCAATAAATGTCGGCCATTATTATTTTCACTACCATGATACAATGAATACTATCTCATGGGTACCTGTGGTCCACACTGCCCATTAGAGGTCATTCAAAAATTTTTTTAACAAAAAGAAGGGAACTAAATTTGAACTCCAGCATCTTATCTTACAGTTGATAAAGTTGTTCTTGGTCTACTACTTGTAATTTACTACTTCCCTAACTTTGTAAGAGTTTCAAAGCATATAAAGAGTTACTCTGCAAGAGTACCATAGATGCCAAGGTAATTTACATGGGAAGAACATTTCCTCCCACCCCCTCAAGTGCTGATCTTGTTCGTTGGGACTGCTCTTCCTGTTCCATTTCCCCCCAAGCCTGCTCATACCTGCATACTCCCGATTCAGGCCAACTGCTTATTCACTCAAGGAAAGGATACTAAAACTTTGATTGGTTATTTCAAAGTTCCATAGGTTAATCCTTAGGTCATCAGCTGACATATAGGTCTCATAGTCGCTGTTGACTGATATAGAGTTGATGTGGTACGTGTGTGCATTGGAAAATACTCTTCGCGGGGTGGCCTCCACCATCAGGTCCATGGGTCTCAGGACAGGCACCTGGGATGCAAGAGAAAGCAGATCACGTAAGATGCCATGTTAATGTGCAGGTTTATGTCCTTTATCAGCACATGCGAAATCATAACCACTAAGATGCTCCGAGTTAGAGAAGATGAATGATGAGTCACATGTTCCTGTCCCCTTAGGTTCATTTTAGTTTCACTCCTTTCTCAAGAGATGTCACCATCACTTAGCCCTGATGGGAGAATGCATCCTTTATAAAGTCTCAGCTTTTTTTTTTTTTCACACCCTGTAGGTGGCCTCATCTTGGGGGAAACTTGGAATCCATTGTGGGGTCATTAGCTTTCAAAGCTGGTGTTCCAGATTGCTTGCTTGTTTTTTTAAACATAAAATCTATTAAAAAAAAGATGCAGCAAAATTTTAGAAATGTGTAATGCAACTTAAAAAAAAATATTTTTCATGGCTTTGGAGGTTTGGACACTATCCTGGCTGTCTCCTCAATCCATAAGGGCATATTGGGAAAACTTGGAATCAACTGAGATTTTATTTTTTATTTTTTTAAAAGATTTATTTATTTATTTATACAAGAACCAGGGTATAGGTCAGATGCGCAGGAGGGTGAGAGGATTCACCAGAGACAGAGTAGGGAACAGAACAGGCAGACTGATGAAATACACTGCTGAGGGGAGCAGTGGGCGCGACAGGAGAGGTCTGCGCGCCATGTGGGACCCTCGCTGGCTGGCCGGGATTGAACTGGTACTGCAGAGGCTGCAGACAGCTTCACACAGCGTGACGCTCAACTGCCTGAACCACCAGGGGAGGCCCTCAACCGAGATTTTAATAACTCCAATTCAGCCAATAATATATAGGGCATGCACTAACATCTGTATGACTGGTAAAATCTTGGTTGTTTCGACACAACCAGGTAGTGTCCCCTTTCACATCCAAGACTGTCCCACTCTAAATAAATACTAAATGGTCACATTACTGATATATAAAGGGTACTCAGTGTTTGTTGAATGCATGAGTGATAATATGCGTGTAAATGTTTTCTTCTTCACAGGTCAGAGAATCAGGAAGTTAAATAGTTTCCCACCAAAGGTTCTTCTGGCAAACAATGACAAAGACCCATTAGTCTACAGACTCCCTCTGACCTCAAGGGTGCTTCTGCCTACCCTGGAGCCAGTGGCTCCTGAGAAAGTGAGTGAAGACACTAGTGCCTGAGAGGGGGCAGACTCCAAACCACACTAAACAAACACAAACATAGGTGTGGCCCTATAACAGGAACAAGTTAATGAAGGGACCCAAAGCTCTTTTCTTTTCAAGGAAGTCACCTCATGCAGCTGAGTCCTGACTGACTTGATACCAGGGCCTGGACAAAACTTGAATTTCTAGATTCAATGCTGGGGGAGGGGAAGGGGGAAGGGAAGAAGGTAAAAATAAAGGTGAAATTCTGCCACATGCAGTCACCCCAACAATATAACCTTTCATAAAACAGAATTTTCCCCTTTCTTTTTGGAGTCAGTTTAGTTCACTGTTGAAAGAGTTTTAAAATTAAATAGCAAGTCAGAGGCATCCGAGTGCTATAAAGACGTTGTGCAGCATAGCCTGAAGCTGAGATGGCTAAGCTGTGGCTGTAGCAGGAGCAAGAGACCCTCTGAATACCAGGGAAGGGCATGGAAAGTGCTGTGTGTCCTCTGCCCTCTTTATGGACAAAGGTTTAGCACGAGAAGCCCAGGGAAGGCAGGAACTGGGAGACCTGGGTCTGATCGCAGATCCCCACTAATCAGCATGGGCAATTAATTAACCTGCTTCTTTTGGGCTCTGATTACACCACCTGAAAATGAGGGATAACACCCTCTGGGCCTGAATTATTATGAAAGCTGAAGGGATCTGTTGAGATGATTTGTCCTCCAGTTCACCCTCACCCCTGATTCATCCTTAGTTCTGTACAAGGTCCTGGGGGTTCAACTGGTAAGCAAAGGTAGACACAGGGCCTGTCTTTATATAGCTGGGCTACAAGGAGGAGGTAGACACAAACTAAATCATCTTCATAAAATGCAGTAAGTGCCCCAAAAGAAGGAATAAAGTGCTGGGATTGGGGGCTCCCTGGTCAGTGAGATCTGGAAAGGGTTCACTGGAAGTATTAATTGGCAAAGTCTGAAGGATAAAAAAAGGCCGGGAGGGGTGGGAAGGATATTCTTCTAATCAGAGAAAGTATCATGTGCAAAGGCCCTGTGGTCGAGGTAAGCAAGGCAAGAACAAAAGCTCAATTGGTCAGTGTAGTTGAGATAGAGAACATGACATGAACCATTTGAGAAATGAAATGACAGGTTAGGTAAGAGGCAATCCCAAGAAAGATTTTTACCATTACCCTAAGAGTTATGGGAAGATGTCAAAAGATATGCAGTGATTGTGATAGGATCAGATTAAAAGGTTTTTTTTTTTTTTTTTTTACTAGATCATTCTGGATGTACAATGGACAACAAATTAAAAAACTAAAGTGGTGGAACTTTGAAGATGATACAGTATGGACCATCAATTAAAGATGTATCTATGCACCTTTGTAATGAATAAAAAAAGTGACTTTGCCCTTAGGAAATCTACCTGCAAATACTTATTTGGCATTTACTCTGTCAATCAATCTGCATACATCATCTCATACAAGACTCTCAACAACTCTGTGAAACAGGCATGAGTACAATATCCAATAACAAAGAGCAAACTCAGGCTCAGAATGGTTAAGTTACGGGCCCAGAGTTGCCCAGCTAGAAGAGGTACAGCCAGAATTCAATTTCACATTCTACCTGCCTGCGAGCTAGTGTTTTTCCATGTATCACACTACACTCACATAATCATTTGGGGTAGTAGTGACATGAGTAAACTGCCAGGAGAAGTTATGGAATAAATGGCATTATCTATAGTAATAGACATAATGGCAGTCACAGATCTCTTTGGTTAAGCTGCCTCTGCTGATCTCAATTAGGAGTTGGAAGTGGCATTTGAATAGGGCATCTATTCTGTGTACTTTCAGGAAAACATGCTATGCTTTTACAGTTTGCGATAAAAGAGCTCCCCACCTGGAGCTTTTGGATGCTACCTGCTTTCCCTGCAACCTCCGCCCCTTCCACCTTCCCCTCCAGGTAGCAGAGCTCAAAGCAGGCCCCCTGGGGCCACAGAAGAAATGGAATCTGTGAGGACTTCCTGTCGATCCTCCTAAAATCTTCCCTGGGCCTCCTTCATTACCGTGCACTGTCTGCAGAGGCTTCCTGTGGCTGTGGTGACGGGGGCCGGGAGCGTGACAGCGAGGATCAAGAAGCATTACAAAGTGGGAGCTGCCAGCCCAGAGCTTCAGCGTAATGTGATGGGCCTGCCTGCTAATTCAGGCTGACGTCTTCCATGATGTACCACTTAATGGGGAAGGCTCCATGCAGGTATCTGGGGACAGAGCCTCTTACACTTTGCCCAGAGAAGCCAGGGGGCTGAATGTCACTCATGGTCTCCTGAGACCTTCCCTGAGCCCCAGGCAAGACTTGTCCACTGCCCAGGGATGGCCCTTACAAGATGGGGGAGGGAAGCTGGACCGCGTGCCTAGTTAGCAAGCCTGGTGGGGACAGGGTTTCCCATATGCTCTGGCCACATCCTCCTCACAGGCCAGGCAGGAAGAAGGGTGGGGCCTTATTCCAGAGTTGGGCCCACAGGCCACTATTAAGGCTTTCCCTGTGGGGTGTTCATGGAAGCTTTCTGTGTCCTGTGCCAGGCCTGTGTTAGAGCTTTCTGTCCCCAACTCTATGCCACACTTGCCTCTCAAGAGCCAACCTCACAGGGGGAGCCCTCTATCATCTCACGGGGGTGGTGAGGGAGGGAAAGTGTCTAGTCCAAAGGCACTCCTCAGAATAAGCTGAGGAGCTGAGCCAGGGCAGCTGGGTTGCTGAGTCAGCAGATAGAGCCACGGTTGCAAATGAAACCACGAGGCTGAGATATAAAATTGGTCAAAAACTGTCAAATCTTAGTAAATTAATGTGGTGTAGCCTAATACTTGGCAAAGACTTTTGGAGGAATGTGACACTGAATCATGGAACATCAGTCTTAAAAGGGACTTTAGGGCTTCTTTCAGGGTCGTGTGTGTGTGTGTGTGTGTGTGTGTGTGTGTGTTACAGGGGGCACAGAGCGGGAGGCTGTGGTGTCTAGGTCTCACTCCCTCACTCCTGGTAACATGTTTGAATTCTCAATAATACCTTGTTAAATAATAGTTTCTGTGGGTAAGGAGAGTTTGAAAACTACTGGCCTGAAATCTATGTGAGGAAATCTAGACTGAGAGGTGAAGTACCTTGTCCACCAGGTGAGGACTGACCAGCAGGCCTGGGTGTGTGCCTCTTATCCCACAGCTTCTACTGCCGCTTCCCCTAAACCCTCACCATGTGCCTCATCTGAGCCACTCAATAGCCCAGAGCCCCCTTCTTGCCAAATGGCAGAATCAGGACCAGACAAAGCCCAGGATCAGGTCAACACCTTTAACTCAGAGCTCAAACCTTTTTTTGAGCCACCTTGGCAGACCAGCTGCACAGCATGCTCGGGAATGACAACGGGCCCAGTCCTCGGCCTGGAGGCTGAGGAGGTTCTGGATGTGTTGCTGGAGTTCAGCTGCACCCTCAGGTGCCATGGACTCCTGCCTGACCTGAGTCAGGTTCCGCTCATCCTCCTGAGGCCAACTCCCAAGGACGAGGACGAGCTCCCCAGCCCGGTCTGGCCTGCACCACCAGTGCCATGCTAGGATATTAGAGAAAGAATGTGCTACACCTGAGAAAGCAGCCTGGGAGTCTACCCTGCCACAAAGCTTACAAGAGACACGTCGGATACAATTTCAGTGCAGTGTGAAGCGCCAGAAGCCACATGTCTCCCTCCTCATTTCATTTGGCTCTGTTTCATGATCGCCCCTTGAGAGGCCTTCCAGGCTCACCTCATCTCCAACAGCGCACCCTTATTTGTGGTTCCTGTAGCCAGTTGAATGCTCAGAGCATTTCATCAGGGCAATTCAT